CCCCAGCCGCTCACTTTGGCAGAATGTTCAAATGAACCTCACCATTGAGGCCATTTGATGCATTTCAAGATCGTGTTTGGTATTAACCACGGTTTCTCTTTAAATTACCGTCACATTAGCCAGGATTTTGCCCACAGCATTTTTATGTTGCTCACTAAGTCATATTTCTGACGATTGGAGGACTTGAACGGTTGTATTCCCTTCGCAAGCTGGGTGATGAACCTAGTATCATCATCATTACTTCATCTAACCTAAAGTTTCTCGAATATTTATGCCTAACTCCTTGATCTTTCTCAGCCTGCGAATGTCTGTTGCTTGCTTGTTTAGTTTGCTAGGGCTTCCTTAAAACCTGACTTTTGGTTCGGTTGGAAATTTACTGTTTGCTCAATTTGGCGATCCTACGGAATATTGTGAGGTTTAATCAGTTGGTCACCTGAGAGCTGTCATATTTGACTGATTTCAAATTCATGCTTACCACGTCCGGAATATACCTACGATAGAACGGTACCCGATATTGCCGACTTCCTCAATTACCTCTATTGCCACTACCAGTTTCTGCCTACCCATGATCGCTTCTCTCCACTGTTAACAATTTCCACGGTTGATCTCTATTTTTCAGGATTTTTCTTGAGTGCCATACTCGCACAAGCTTCTCATCTTTTACACCCCTCGAAGTCCTGCTTCTGGGTTCTTAAAACAGTAGATTTTATAACGGATGAAGGATTTTGGTATCTTATGTTGTATAGGTGGTCGGTTTTCTGCCCACTGAGCTGCACAGTTAGGCTGCAAGTGTTTCGTCACCAACCCAGACGATATCGGCAATGAGAAGCAAGTTGGTGGTTTGTAATAATATGCAAGTTTGCGGCTGTTGGGACAAAAACCAGGTTGAATTTTACGGATGGGTGTTTCCCTTTATGCCTTCAACCACAGTGGACGATGTAGTCAACCCAGAATTTCGTGAAAATAAACTTTGTTCACGCGTGTTCTGCTACACCATCAACCGGGTATTTGGTCGTGCAGCAGGTACTCCACTGACTGAATACACCCTGTACCATCAATTACGATGCAGCGGCCATGTGTTATGCATGCCGACACACCGTCCACGGAGACAAGTATTGTTGTTTGCGCCTTCTTAAGAATGGCGCAAATAGCTGTGACTTGTCAGAAGGGTGTTAAAGAGATAACTCTGAGTTTAGGTGTTGTTGGTGCGATCCGCCTTCCAGGACGAGGTCTCTGTGGTCTCCCCTGCGCTTGGCTACAGTCACTGTAAGAAATGACTCGTGTTTTCAGTTTCTTTCCAGATTGTCTGTTTGAACACTTGGGAGTACATGCGCCTCAGAATTCTAGTGACAAACCACCTCTAGCTCCCCTCCCTTACTCACTCTTTTGTTTTCATTATAAGGCCTTAAAAATAATTAGATAGAGCTTGTGGTTGTACAGCAGCGAAGCATCATTGTCAACACTTATGTTGTTGTTGTGAGTGACGATGATGATAATGATGACAACAATAATGGTGGTGATGATGATGTATCCTGAACAGCACCACCAAACTGTTCTCTTTTCATGTAGAGTCAATCTGCTGCACTAATGTTTGGATCCTGGATATTCAGTCTGGTGTTTATCCCCCGATTTTGGTGTGAAAAAACTTGCCTAAGTAGATGAGCTTCCGAACCGCGACATTGTGGTAATAATAACGCGTTGACCCCTAAAATGACGATCCGTAGTCTGATACACCGTCGGATCAATGTTTGCTCTTTCTGGATACGCTGTCATGAGCTATCTTTCATCCCATATCTCTCCATATCCTAAGCTCCAGTCCAATCAACTGAAACCTCTTCATATGACGGCCACCTCAAACCCCGTGCATATCAAAGATATGGACCTACCAATCGCATTCTTCTATCTTGCCACTTAACACTGGCAGCTGATCTGTTTACATGCCACGCAGTTTTCATAGTCAATTTTTCGTCACCATACTACCCAGCCCTACTCACTAGAATTCAGTGTTTTTGCCGTACGATATTTGTAACTGTCCAGGATCATTTCGACCCTAGCAACAGTTTCGGCGTTTCAGGTCGTTGTAGCCGCGTTCAGGATATACGTGAATCCTAAGCTTCTTGTTCAGGTTTTCTGTGCAACCCGGTGCCAGGTGGCTCAGTACAAATGTCGCACGCCTTACTGACGTACCTCCGGTGTACTATAAAACTGGCAGAGCTCTTTACTAAAGTGGCACAGATCACTAGTCGGAGAAACTCAAAGTACACCCGGCGCATCAACTTGAGAGATACGAAAAGAGCTGTTATTTCGAACCCAGTTACGGTGAAGATTTCAAGCTGCAGTACATGACTACTGCCAGTTCAGAAAATATGGTCATACCTCAAAAACCCGATCAACTAGCTAGACCGTTGCAAAAGATGCAGAACTGTGCAGTTGTTTTTTCTGACACGTGACAAAATACACCTGGGAATAGAATAGTATCTGCGGGTGTTCGATGCATAAACATAGTGACTTCTACGGTGGAGTGTCTCTACAACCGTCTTCAACGATCAGGTGAACCGAGCCAGCACTTCACGCCAAGCGTTGCTGTCCAGATTCACAATAATTTTGCCACTCAATTCTCATTTCCTTATTTCTCACAGGAGGAGCTTCAGTAGACTCCTCGTATGTCACCACGAGATTTTGGAATAATGAACCTTTTCTCTCCAATGACAGACGGAATAACGGATGGCCATATTTGTGAATGTTTTCTGCCTGACGATTTTCTAAAACTGACTTAAAAAGGGAACCTGTGGAATTCGACGATGAAGGGTGGAGAAGTCTCAGCAACTTTAATCCAACCGCACACCAGAGAACGGAACCAGTGAAGTTAGCAAAATCTTCTAAGCGAACTAAATGGGTAGCGTTTTGTTTATTTGAAAAAAAAGAATGACTTTTATGTGGCCCGTAATGCTGTCTGTATATACTGTTTGACGTGGATCTACTGATGGTTTCGAGTAAACAATACTTGGGAATGGACTGAACATTATGTATTTCGCTTGAACCTGCGTCACCTATGACGTAGACGTGACATCAGCTTATCCGTCAAGGGTCGAGTTCACAATGCTGCAGTGCGCTTCATACTACTATACGGATCAGAAACCTGGCTGTTGCGCGCTGAGGAAGTCGAAAGTCTTTCGGTGTTTGATGATCGACGTCTTCAGAGCATTGTCCGAGTCTGGTGGGAACACCGGACCAGCAATGCTGAAGTACGTCGAATGGTATCCGGGCGAAATAAATCACCTTCGGTAGATGAACTGATTACACTGCATCGGTGGCGCTGGCTTGGCCACGTGCTCTGTATGGCACCCGACCAACTTTCTCGAAGGGCTCTTTTCGCACAGCCACGTGAAGGGTGGGGGAGAGCCAGAGGCAGTCAATGACTTGGAAGTGAAGTATAAAAGCCATTACCAGCAAACTCAGCTGTGCTGGCTATTGCCGTCCTGCTGGATGGGGACCCAGAGATGGGCCATATCAGTGGTTGAAGACATGGTCCAGTCGTGCCTTCAATGGCTCTCATGGACCCTTCCCACCCCCCCACTTAAGAGTCCACTGACAGTGTCGTATTTACGCAACAATTTATCAGCTCCCGCCTCCAATGCGCAGCCCATTACTCCACCTCTCCAAATCATTGGTGAACGAAACTTTGGCAGCTACAACCACTGTACGACAAGTACGCGGTTCTTACAGATGACAATGATGATGATGATGACTGATTTCGATTGAGACAGCAGTAAGTTCATTTTCGGGATCTCCGATAGTTCGTGAGATTAAGCGCCATTTTTCGCTGTTTTACAATCGATTGGTGGTTGAACGTTAGCGTTAATTTTCACGTTATCACCATACCCATAGTGCAGAAACATTTCTGTTTAACTATCACCGTGAATGCATGGTTAGCTGGTACACAGCGCGAATGTGTTTGAAAAATATTGAGTTATATGACCTTGAGTTTATTGACACACGTGAACTAAGTCGACGTGATTGATCTGCTTGGGTCATCTGAGGTAAAGAATGTGAATCATGCAAACGCATGGGTGGAAGCCCCTTGAAGTTAAATTGTCGACGCTCGCTACACATCAGCATTCCTAGCCCTGAAGGTTTAGTCGGAGAAACGTATGAGCAAATCTGTTTTGGTTCTCGCATTCATTCAGACCAAATAATGGGCGATGGCTTACCTCTGTTTTACCGTGTGGGTTTTGTGCCGACAATAACAACGGAGACAATCAGACCATTTGTCTATTCGTACACGGCCTGGGCTTGCAGGCACCAGGGTTTGGTATTGAAACTGGATATTCGGAACAGTGCAGAAGGAAAAAAGACATCCAAATCCATCAAACGCAAACCACCGTTGAAGCACTAACATCCCTGTTTAGTAATTCCTATATTTATTTTTTTGTTCAGTATTAATTTAATCTTCCGCGAGATCAGCACGTTCAAAATTACCTATTTGCATCGTGGTATAAATTACCTAATTTCATTTTTGGTTGCACAGTAATTTTATTATATGCTTTTGTTCGTATATGTTCTTGGCATATTCCGCACTCAATGAAACGTATTCATCCGGGTGATTTATTCATATGTGTATATGCTGAAAGTGAATTAGATTGCGTGAAGTTTGCTGAACATTGTAGGGATGGAACCTGTCGAGTGCAAGACACCCTTTAAGGGTTCTGTTGTCCGTATAATGAGAAACGGAGTCACTATATCAAGCGGCTCTCCGGGATCTTCATCTGTTAGGCTGTAGGCTATAGATTTCTTTACCAAATCGGTTACCACAGGAAAGTTTCGTTCAGTCATACCTTCAGTGAACACAGTGGCATACGTTTGGATTCACTATCACGTTGGTTTGGGAAAAGTAAAGTCTGAGCACGACTGCAATGATAGTGAATGTAGGTGAGGGGTACTTTTGAGAATGATTGATCAGCAGTGGGAGGAATTTTGTGTTAGGATTCCTGCTTCAAGATGGTGCAAAATGGCAAAATTCACATAAAGCAGTGACAGGAATTAGCAAATTTTCTGGATCATTTCGGTCAGTGGTCGCCAAATTATACGAGATCGTATGCAGTATAGTGTACATTGTTTTCCAAACTTCCTTCTTTGAATCGATCTTGAATCTTTTCTGGTGAACTGGGCGTTCTTTGTAACAGATGAACAACTCAACAAATTGACCAGGAGAGCATGGTTGAGACTTACACATTTGCTGGGCAAAGGATGTCGCCGCCCAAACTTTTTCTACTAGAAATTGCTTTTTGTGGTGATGATATTTGAGACAATTCATTCAACCGGCATGGGTATCTGCTGTATGGAGGCTGTCGCCATATTGTTTCGGGGATAAATCGAAGCTAGAAACTAAAATTGAGTTAACTCTTGGTTACTTCCAACAAATATACTGAAATGCGGACTGGCGCCAGTTAACAAATGTAACGACTGTGGAATCCACTATCAATTTCGCATTTTTTAGTTACGACGAACCTTTTTATCCTACCGACTGGTCACGCACATATCCTGATGGACTGCTTAAAGGGGAATTTAGACAAACCTAGATTAGTTAATGGCATAGAAATCACCAATCTGGACAACTTAAAACCTTCGTCGAAAATGTTTTCACGGATGAGAACCCAAATAAGCGCAAAGCTGCTGGAGAGATAGATACTACTGTTTGGACTCGGACTCACGCTCTGTCTTTCTAGAGTAATGTCCCACCGGCTAGACCAGACGGACGGTATCCCATGTGCCCGGTGGTCGGGAGTAGTGGATTCAAATACCATCTGGTGATTCTCTTTATCGTTATTATTGCACCCGGGCTCCAATGAGACTACTCGAACCTCCATCTATCGTTTATGAGTTTTGCATTCTTCTGGTTTGGATTCAGTATAAGGCAGCTCAATATGATATGAAACGTAAGGAATCAATGTAACATCTTCAGCAAGGACTACAACATTCATTTATCCACGTCCTAGAATCCCCTAGTGAGCAAATCATAACGATTGCTCCGAACTTAGTTGGCATATCACAGTGGCCTACGGAGATCCAGTTTGCGGGATTTATAGGGGGCACTTAAGTAGAAACCATTATGAGTTCAACCAGCACCCGGCTGATGGCTATAATAAGTGAATATTTGGCATAAAAATGATTGAAAACACCCCTACAACACACTGGACGCATTGCTGGGTTGTACAAATATCAAACCCATCGGCAGAACGAGAAGAGATCGTGAAACTGCCTACTGTTTTTTGAAGTTAACTTAACCAGTCTGTTTCGTTGTTTTCTTTAGGTCAAGGGGGACATGAGACCCTGATACATTGAGGGACAAGCTTTGAAGTGCACAGGCAAGAAAGACTCAAATTTGTAGGCAAAACTTGGTGTTGCAGCTGCATGATTCTGTAATCTCCTCAAAACCTCCACTAGAGTTGACTCCACCACAAAGTGGTGTGTATTTCACGCTTTCCGACTTTGGTTAACCGATCCGCTGAAGTTTATAGCAAGAACACTGTTTGACCAAACTATCTGGCCGTGTTATAAGCACTGCATCAAAGTTTTCAAACTTCGCTTGCGTTTTTCACCATCACCATTATTATCATCATCAGATGTGAAACGAGTCAAGAAACGATTCGAACTCGTAATTCGGTCAACTTGCAGAAGGGACCTACCCTAAGTTACGTAAGGACATATAATGTCACTTCATCGAAAACGTGATCAGGCTAACATATCCCCATGAAATCCTGTTGAATGGGACAGAATATGGGGTCATTTATGCAGACCGAAACGAATTTCTCAGATCAGTTCAAAAACCGTAATAGTATGGTGACTGATACGCATCGATGGCTCTATGGAGGGCGATTTCCATATAGTGACTTGTTGCATCAGTTAGTATGGAATTTATATCTAATCGTTGTTGTCTTCTTTTGACTTTTAAAGGCCTGATTACACACCCCCAAAATTGGGTACTAGCAATTGGATTAACAATCCATTCGTTTGGGTTACCCGATGACGGGCAAGTCATTTCATAGTTGAGCGCTGGTACTTTCTGCTAGTCTGTTGCTATCAATAGTGATGAGGTGAAAACCACGAAGTTTCACTCAGTGGGATAGAGAAGAATATTATAGCTCCTTAAATTCGTGACGCCAGATGACAAGGGAAGGAAAGCGCAACTGGAATGCTGGTTGAAAATTACTCCGAAGGGGCTGACAGATGCCCAAGGGTGACAGTGAATACGAACCTTAAGGAAGAATACTGTACACAGCCGGTTTTAATCTGCTCAGCAAAACACCTTAGTTAAGACACGATGTCTCTCAACCAGGGATCACTTCGTTCCATGGCTCGCTATGTTTCTTGTTGAGGGGACGCTTATTTCTTGAGTGTAATTGCTTAACTCTCAAGCTCCACGCTGTGACGTATCCCAATTACGGCAGCGTAACCGCAACGATATTTTCAACCCCCCGAGTAACTCTGCAGAAATGGACAACAAAAACAATCAAAGTAAATAAAGAATGCTCATTTAAATAAAAGAATATTGGTCATTTTCTCAACCCATTACTGATCTGGTTTTATCGGCTGTCTTAGGAGAGTTCAACGAATCCAGAGCAATTTCCTAGATTCCGCTTATTTACCCTCTGCTTAAAGTTACACTGGCCGATGTAACTTACCAGAGTAGCCGGCCAGAATGAGCCAGGATAGTAGCAGCGTCGCCTATTAAATGAGGCTTCATTTGAACTGGGCAGAGGAACCTACTAAGCTATCCGAGGACACACTGTAATAGAAATGGCATGCCAGAAGACATCTCAAAGATTTTGAAGGACGTTCACCTAAGTACAGACAGACTATCACAGTCGGTCAAATTGATTCAGACTGTCCCATTTCTCCGGGCCTTATTAACTCAATCACCAGCAGTACGTTGCAGCTGTCTTCATAGCAATCTAAATGGTGTTCTTGTTACGGAATAACTTATTTACTTTCTGTGTGTGCAATGTCAGTGAAAACTTATCTCTTTCAAATTTGTTGGACTTGCCCTCTCCACTAGCAGTTTAGTGTTTGTTGAGACGTGCTTGCCATGACAACCTGAAATACGCTGCGCTTGGATGAATTTCGTCAGGTGTTGCTCTGCAATATTGCACGGAATGAAGGTGAGATATCCAGTTACCCAACAAATAGTAAAACTTATCGACTAGTTAAGGATGTTTCGAATGCGACTGACCGGCTGTAACCATGTGACCTTAACTGCTGGACATACAAAGCTCAAGTTATGCGGCAGCATAGTGGACGAAATAAGCAATGAAATGTTCAAGGCAACTGTGTGGAATCCCGACTTCGTCGATGGCTTCTTATTCTGACCGGGTGTTGACACAAACCGAAGTACTTACCACTGATGTAACTAAGACCGCAAATATAGATGCGATACGGTTTTTAACGTAGAAAACTCCAATCATGTAGCTGTAATCCATTTAAACATGAAAAGGAAGTTTCCCGATTGGAGGAGATTGGTTTCGTATGGCTAACGGACGATTGCATCGTCTACCATGGGCGCCTTTGGTCGCGTTCGAATGAAAAAGTTATGAAAACACTCCTGGTTGGAATCTCGTTTATCGATTGAGCAGTGTTAAATTTCTAGTAGACATGCATTAAATTTTACGCTGGTTGTCGGAATTCATACCCAATGTATGCAGTTAGTAGCACAGCATTTAGATTTTCATAACACTTTTCCACCACGCCCAGTTTGCAAGCGGTCAGCGCGGAATCCCTTAATTATATATATATATATATATATAATATATATTACTGACTCCATGTGAGTTGATTCCAAGTGTGCAGCAATCTGAAAAGAGGATGGCAACACACCCAAATCTGGGTGCCACCATTTCCCAGGCTGTCATTTAAAAGCGGTAACCTAACTACTCAGGCAAGTCACGCACACACGAGGCAAGAAAATTCATATGGCCTAACCCATTTAAGAGTCTTAATTTAGAGGAGTAGTGCTACTGGCTACAACCGCATACCGTGATAGAGAGACCTATCTGAAGTTTCTGTGATATTGTGGCATTGAAATAGGTAGTATATAGCCCCCAAACTGGCTAATGCGACGGCCAAAACAGCCATAGAAGGAGCTATTGGTCCAATTCGGACATCGGCATATCGACTGACACTCCGAAGAGAAACTGTAGCCAGTCTTCGAAATTTGCTTTGGCGAAATCGAACGATCCAGGCCATTGATTACAGTCTGGTGTTGATATACCCATTGCCATGACAATGAAATACGGCGTTTAGCTGTGATCTCGTAATCGTACCAAGCGCATGTGTCGTGGAAACTGTGGCCAACCGGAGAGTTTGGTGCATATTTTACAATCCTGCTGGATCACGCATGATGCGAGATGTGCTCGTCATAATCGGGTTGCAAGGGAACTTGCAAAACGTCTCCGACGACTGAGATACACCGTCTTCGAGGAGTTGAGAGCACCTACTCCGACGTTCTTCATCAAACCTGACCTAATCGCTGCTCGAAATCGCCGTGCAACTGTAATAGAAGTCAGCATAGTCTCGGATGGGCGTGGGGTGACTGTGTGGAATGAGAAGGAGCAGAAGTAGGGTGCTGATGAATATCCCCTTGCCATAATCTCAGCCCTACATGCCTTGTGATGTCGATTTTTTGGTTCACAAACCGAGGATCGTCTCTTATCGAGGAATCTGCTTTCCTCAATCCGCTAAGACTGTTATTGGACTGGGACTTCTTAAGGTCGCAGTCAGTGACCTGTGTTTGCGTGTCATTGAGGGCTCTCTGCGTACTTATGACACTTTTATGCGTGGCACATGGCGTTGAATGTACATTTTTGCCATTTAATCTCACACCAGACCCAGTATGACGGACACTTTGTGCCTGATGTGCGAGTCCTGACTGTGCTAGCGCCTACCGCGCCTTGAAGAGCATTCAACATTGTTTGTCCTTTCTTCGGTTGTTGGTCTGTAGACGCGTGTTCCAATATCAAAATCTTTACATACTTTGGGAATCACCTCATCAGACTGGAACTGTTCTTGGCATGATTTCGAATGAGACGTTTCTCTCTTTCCTTCCATATTCTCCTGTTACTCTTTCGCCTTCATCGCTTGCATTCTCTTTTTATGTTTGTGACCATGCTCTTCAAAATTAAATGATAATAGTAGTAGTAGTAATAAGCTCACTTGACATGTCGAGTTCCAACAAAAGAAACTTTGAGTTCAGTGCTTCCGTCCTTGGTCTGGAATAATTGTGCAGGGCAAGAGAAGGACTGCTCAAAGAAGAGTAATGTGAACGATAGCTCTACAAATCCCACAACAACCTACCCAAATTAACATCCACTCTGAACACGAATGCTTTCCGCTGACGGAAAATCACAAAATTATACTCATGTTATAGTCGCATTCTCTATAATAGCATTACAGCCTCCAGACTGCTTCAGGCCTTTCAGTGCTTGTTATATCATTGCCTCTTCCTCACGCTTTTCAAGAATTGGTGCTTAAACTGTTGTCCACTAGTGAGCCACGGTCCATGCGACCTTAGTTTTTTTCCTGTTCGACGCGCATGCCCATACTAGTGTCCTCCATAAGAATAAACAAAAATTAAGTGTGGTGAACTGCAATCTAGCCAACAGCAGCAGTTGGTGAGTGCTTGGTGCTTTCGTGAAAAATTTCGATGACTTAGAGCACTTCAATGAACGTTCAGAAATAAACGCTGTGATCCTGTTCGGTTCTGTCAAGTTGCATTGTAATATGTTAGCCCAAGGCCGAACGTTATCTTTGTACTATGAAGGGCACTCGACAACGCCCTGCGCATGACACTAATTGGTCTTTTCATAGCCCAAGTAGCATCTTTAAATGCCGCACTTTCGACTTGACTACACATTAGGGGTTCGTCACCTTTTTTATGGTAACTAAAACAAAACAAGTTACCTTCTTTAAAGAGAGAATATGGACGGTCAAATACTGGAAGATCTTGTGACCAAATTAGACAAAGTCAACCAAAATAACATACGAACTCATGCTTTATTTGTGTTGGATTTTAGGACACTGTGATCTTGTGGAAAAAATTACTTTACCTTCGGGACAAAGTAGAGCAAGTAGGTTGACGGAAACTCGAGGACTGTGCCCACCTGATGAGTATCAAGAAGGGTAAAACTCGTCGTGGGCTGTCGTCAGTAATTTTTTCCCAAAGCAGACTATGTCTTTCTAGCGCGGATGAGATTTATAGGCATTACGAGTTTGTCCAGGTTCCTCTATTTCCAAGACTGTTGCCCAAAGGCCAGAGATCCGCCGTCGTGTATCATGCATGCGATCAGTATCATGTTCAACAAATTGACTTTTCATGAATTCGGCGAATTTTCAAAGAAAAACGGAAAAATAAAAGGTAAAATGTTTTCACCCGTGTGCACAGCTGAGTATGTAAAATGATGAAAATACACTCGGACCAATTTGACAGTAGGAAACAAGTCAACACTGTGAGGAAATTGGATTGCAAACGTTTCATCACCGATAGAGGTGACACTGTCAGTGCACTCAACCCTGCACTGATGGTGTCACCTCGATTGGTTGTGAAACGTTTGCAATCCAACTGCCAAGCTCGGCGAACAGACCAACAACCAACAAGCGCACCCGAGCTACCTACATTCCACAACACTGTGAGGAAAACCTACACGTGACTAACGTGCACTGTTTGCAGACAGGAGAGGTACGCATGCCTGCTTGACCTCACGAAATCACTCAGTCGCACCACAATATTTGTACTACTCCCGAGTTTTTATCTCAGCCAATTGTGGGAGTTCTAAGTGAAGGTCTCAGGGGCCTGGATTTCATTATCTTCATTGAAGCAACCTTTGCCACTCATTGCATGATCCCCTCTGAAAAGAACTTTTTCTTTCAACACTGGCTTTCACTGAATGTCACTACCTTGTATGTTATAGTCACGCCTCCCCCGACGATTGACCCGCTTTCTGATCGTTTTGACAGCTAATTAATCTGTACTCGTACTACTAGCTACCTTTTTGTTCACAGCAGCCTCAAGGATAAGGTCTCCGCATAACTCGCTTGTATGGACAGTTTTTTATAAACTTGTCAAGGTCACACTGATAGACGTCACACTTAGTTGATCGAATTAGGAAGTCGCTGATATCCTCAAAACGGGCCAAAAGTGAAATGCAAATCATGGAGCGATTTGAAGGTAGCACCACTCTGTGGTTAGGAAGTATTTTAAGGAAATTAGGTTTCAGTTTACCTGCAGTACTACCCTGCTTATTGTTTGTGTACACACCGAGCGGGCAGAGTGGAGAATTGGTTTCAAGGAAAGCCTTATCACTATGCAAAGATGGGTTGTTTATCCTAGTAAAAAGATAACCTAGATTTCCCTTCCCCAGTTGAATGAACTTGCGTTACCATGGGCAACGGTGGTGGAATAAGTCCATTTCATAAAGTGCACCATGATGTTACTAGATTGCAGGATCATGAAGGGACCATATGAAAGACCCTCAAACCCAGGAAGATGAATGACCTCACCCGGTCTTGTCACACAATATTAGTATTCTATTGGCATATCAGCGGGTGGATGACAGCTAAGCTCTCTCTAGTAGTTCGTGAAATGAGAAGTCAACCAAAATCTTAGATTACAGTTTTGTGACGGAACAATGCCCCTTGTTTCACCGCCCTGTCCCAGTTTACGGATAAAGTCCACGGAACTGTTAACAACACCTGAGGAAAACTGGAACCTGCTGACGTGATATGTCCCTTAGCCTATCCTGTAAATAGGTTGTTACGCCGATTTCGGCTCCTCATTTGGACATAGAACTCAAATATCAGTGCAAAGTAAATGTCAGTTTGGGGTGTCACGCCAGGCAACTAAGATGTCATGGCAACCCACACCCCACCATAGGGACTGGAGACAATAACTCCACCATCTAGTGAAGTTAGTGAACAATTTGTGACAGTCTATCACGACCTGTCATGGTATTATTCGTCTGCTTCTGTCCCTAGAAATTTGGACCCACATTACCGTAGAATTTATGGCATAAAGGGACTTCCGCAAACGATTTTCTGAATATTACTTCTCTCTGTTTGTCAACTTTTAGACTCAAATGAAAAAGCTGATCACTAGGCGTGAGTTGTTCCTAAAGTGACAAACACAATATTCTCCTATGCCAGACACAGTTACAGTGGTCATTTTTACGGAGGGTTTCCGTCGGAATG